TTTTTTTCAGCGCTGTTGTAACTTTGAACATCAATTAAATGAACTGTTGTAAGATGAGGACTAACTGCACAACAATTCTGTTAAATAGAACAGGGTCCCCAACCTTTCTGGGTTGGCGGCCCGGGGTGAGCATGCACATGTGCAAACGGGGCCATGCACGTGCGAACGGGACCGTGATTGTGCGGACGACACAAGCAGGGCCACGAGCGCCCATGCGATGCTTGGGCGATGCTAGCCCCCGCGCAATGCCACAATGCTAGCGCTTGCAGTGGGATGTTGCGCTTGCAGTGACGATAGCGTGAATGAGGGTGTGGTCGTGGCGACAGTTGCACCCGCCCAACACTTACAGTATTGCTAGCACCCGGGCGATGCCACCCTAGAACAAGTGGGGTTGTGCTCATGGCAATGCTAGCACCCACCCAACACTCACGGCATTGCAAGCGCCCGCATGACGCCGCAATCCTGGCGGAAATGGGTGGGAGTGCGCACAAGCATGTGCACTGGCTAACCACTCAAGCAGCCCAGTGACCAACAGCTCATGGCCCAGTAGTGGGCTGCGGACCACAGGTTGGTGACCCCAGATATAGAAAATATATGTCACAATTCCTTCTCTCTTTCTCAGTCTCTCTCTCTCCCAAACTTCCTTTGATAAAACATTTCTCAAGAAAGCAAGGGGCAACATATTTTTGAGTTACAAATGGTCCAGTCATGAAAGTATGATTTCTTGAAGACAGTATTAAATGTAAGGGCAGCCTGAGAAGTCATGCCTAGTTTGTTTCAATGGCAGAGTCCAAGCATATCAACTGCATTATTTATTTAATTATATACTCAATTTATATCCACTTTCCTGTTTGAAAGAGGACTCATGTTAATAGGAGTTGGCAATGTAATAAAAATGAACAAAGCAATATGAAAACCTTTAGAAGGGAAGGCCTTTAGATAGGAAGGCCTATCACAGTGGTGGCAAACCTATGGCACGCGTGCCAGAGGCGGCACTCAGAGCCCTCTCTGAGGGCACGCACGCCGTTGCCCCAGCAGAGTTCGCCAGAGTAGCGAGCACGTGGTGTTTGGAAGCAATGGAGCAGGAAGTGAGCAAGCAAGTGGCATTGGCCTCCCAGGGATGCCCTGGAGATGGCGAGGGACTGGCCCCAGCCACGCTCACCCAGTCTGCCATGACCACTGCAGCCACGCCCACCCAGTGGGCCACGCCCTCAGCCCCCCCCTGAGGGCACCACAATGCTGATGCAGCTCTGGCACTTTGCGATAAATAAGTGGGTTTTGTGTTGCAGTTTGGGCACTCGGTCTCTAAAAGGTTCGCCATCACTGGCCTATCAAATACATTGGTCCCAAGTGACAGAGTTAGCTTATAAAGGTCACACTGACCTTTAACCTCTATCTACTTCACACTTTCTGTATTCTGATTCTGATTATTTCGTAATGAGCTGCTGGCCTACCTAATCTCTTAAGGCAGGGCTTTTCAACCTTTTCACCCACTGTACCACTTTTAGGATATGGCAACATCCAAGTACCACCAGTCGCCTAGCAAGATGTCAAAAACTTGATGACCAAAAAAAAAAAAAGGAAAAAAGTGATAAAGTACAGGTGGTCCTCAACTTACAACAGTTCGCTTAGTGACTGTTCAAAGTTACAATGGCACTGAAAAAAGTGCCCAAGGCACAGCCGAGCAAGACACCTGCCTGCCCACCCAGCGGCGCTCTTCCTCCTGTCCGAGGTTTTCATTATTGTGAGCATTTCCGTTGAGGATTGGCAGCGGGGGTGGGGTGGGGGGTGTTTGGTCTTTATTCCCCCCGTCTGATGGGTGGTTGCAGCAGGTTTTGGTCACTTCACATGACCCTGGGACGTCATAAATATGAATCAGTTGCCAAGCATCTGAACGTAAATCACAAGACCCTGGAGATGCTGCAACATTCCAGCTGATCGGCGCTTCTTCTGGGCTCAGCAAAGTGCCAGGATCAGTGCCAAGCTCCAGCTGGAGCCTGGCGCTGATCCTGGCGCTTCCGCTGAGCCCTGACAGCCCTGCAGCTCCAGCCGTCTCTCGCTCAGGCTTGTGCGGTGCTGCCACCTGTTCAGCTCATTCCCCTTTCCCACTACCACTTTTCTAGGATGGTCACGTACCACCTGCCAGGTGCCAATGTACCACAGGTGGTACCCATACCACTGGTTGAAAAGCCCTGCCTTAAAGGACCTGAATTGCTGAACCTGCACTTGTTTCCCCCATTCATTACCTAAGTGGATCAATGCAATGCTTGCCTTTAAAAAAAAAAAGTTTAAAACTTTAAAAATCAAAAACAGTTCTAAAAAGTTTTTTGTACATGTTTTTTAATGTTTTCTGTTTCTAAAAGTGTGAAATTGACAAGATTTATGCCAATTTCCCCTTCCAGACCAAGTGGGTAGAATTTTTTTTTTTAAAAAGTTTCATTGGTAGAGGCGAAACTAGGTCTCCCTCCCTTCCTTCTTGTAAAATTGACAGGACTTCTACCTCTTTCTCTCTCTAACCCAGGGGTAGGCAACCTTGGCTCTTTTATGACCTGTGGACTTCAACTCCCAGAATTCCTGAGCCAGCCATGCTGGCTCAGGAATTCTGGGAGTTGACGTCCACGGGTCATAAAAGAGCCAAGGTTGCCTACCCCTGCTCTAACCAAATGACTGGAGAATGGCTCAAATGATTCTTTTTCTTTTCTTATGGATCTATGCTAGATGAAAAGAGGGAATCATCAATAAAAATAATAGAAAATGTCTGTCAATGGAAACTCCATCTCCTCAACTTGCTCACTTGAGAGGAAAGTGACTGGTTCTTTTCTTTGCACAAATGGCACATGAAAGAGAAAAAAGAGCATTCATCAAGGGGAAACCTTGATTAGCACACCTCAGACAGAAGCTGGGGTTGAACTGGAGGAAGGGGCCGAGACTTAGAAAGAGGCTTCTTAAAATTACTTCACTTTCGGCTAATTTACGTACAGGGGTGAAAATGTTAAAGCAGTGGTGGCGAACCTATGACACAGGTGCCAGAGGTGGCACTCGGAGCCCTTTCTGTGGGCACACATGCCGTTGCCCCAGCCTTGCCTCCCACCACGATCCCCTACTCACCAGAACCCCCCCTGGAGGAGTCGCCCCCGAGCGTAGCCCACGTGGAGTAGTGCAGCCAAGGACATGGCAGCCAAGCAGCATAGACAAGATTCTGCCCTCACGCTCCATCGCGCATAGTTGATACTGCAGGGCGCGGGCAGAGGGCGTGGCCACCATGGCGCTGCTGAGCTGCCTGGGCAATCTGCAGTGGGCCCTGGAGGCGATGAGTGGCCCTGTGGGTAGGCAGGATAGGGGCGGGGCAGGGGGTGGAGCAGGGGCAGGGCCAGTTTTTGGGCACTCGGTCTCTAAAAGGTTCGCCATCGCTGTGCTAAAGGCTACAGTGGCCTTATATCTCAGCGGCAGACCATTTTTCCTGCATTCATATGTTCTTTCCCAATTCCTATAAGGCCAAGGAAAAAATCTCAGGTTGCAAATCTGCAGTCCTGGCAGATCAGGTGGCAGATGGAAGTGGTCTGATTGAGAACATACCTGCATTCTGTCAATATTACGGTGCAGACGTGGATTTGGTAGCAGGCGCAAAATAATTCTGAGGTCTCCAGCTAATTTCTTCCCTTCTTGTTTGCTTGAGTTGCTTTTACTCTTCCTAATAACACCCTTAACTTTCTCGGAGTGTGTATAGTACCCCCCCCCAAATATGAAGCTTTTTCTTTATGAATATGCATTTTCAAGTTCAGTCATTTGAAGTGGATTTGGGCAAATCTTGAGTCAGGTCTATACAGACATGAAGAGGACTGGAGTGCTAAAACTCAGGATCGCAACCTGCCTCTCTCCACTCCCAAGAATTTATCTGTCAAAGATGCTTTAATTTACATTCCCATACTGAGCAGGAGGTTGGCTTTGATGGCCTACATTCTCTTTCCGAGGCTGAGGGTTTATGAGTGTGTAGTTCTCTCAAATGTCCATACAGTTTTTGTGCATTCAGCTGAACATGTCAAATTATATCTGCCAGCCTTCCAGCTGCAAGAAAAAGAGTCCCCCCCCCAGCTCCCCATATATCCAGAGTCCTCCAGCCACTGCACAGAGTATATATGAAGGGACCCTGCAGTAGTCTTACCTCTTGCCCACTTGAATAGTGGCATCTACTTCACATGCATTGCGAGCCCTGGGTTTTCTATCACTGAAAGTGGACAATGGGGGTTGTCTTTTCAAATTAAGGCAGCTCTCCAGATCCGCGGACAGGATCATTCTCTGATTCTCTTTTTAAAAGGCAACCCGAAGAACCTAACATAGGAGTATTAAGGGAAGAATATTTTAAAGTTCTGGTGGCAAAAAGCCACGATTAGTACCAAGCAGAGAGGTTGCTTCCTTCCCAGCACACAACTTTTCAGGTGCTAGTATGCCGGAAAGAAGCACGCCCAGACCCCGACCAGGTTGCATTGGGATGCAAATGAGCTGGAGCGCGTGCTCCTCGCAAGGAAGAGGGATTGTTTATGGAACCTCAGCCAGAGCCACGCGCCGGGCGCACGAAGTTGCCAAGCGAGCTTCCCATTGGGTGGGAGGCGGCTCGGGAGCCAAGCGGGCGGCGGGGATTGTGTGTGTGTGTGGCGCGCGGCGCGTCGCGTGCTGCTCCCGGGGGCCCGCGAGCGGCGGCAGCAGCAGCGCGTGTTGATAAGGGGCCGAGCAGCGAGGACCTCGCAGCAGAGGCGTCTTGACAAGAGCGCAAGGAGCAAGGGTGCAAGAAAGGAGAAAGGAACGGCCGTTGCTCCCGACCGCAGCTAGGAGTTGTTGCCCGGGTTGCGCACCCAACTTTTGACATCTTAAGAAGCCGAGTGCCCGTTTTTCAATTTTTTTTTTTTTTTGGTCTTTTACGGCAACTTGATTTTCTGCAACAACGTTGGCCTTTTAGCAAACTGCACCTCCACGAAGACCAATACCGGGGTAAATGCCCCACGATGAACAGCGGGGTTCTAGGAACAACCATGCAACCAACAGCCCACGCGGTTTGCAAAAGTTACTCGCTGCACAGTTGCAATAGCAGCGGCGGCGGCGGCTCTTTGGGGATCAAAGTGCAAGCAGGACAGAGCGCGGGCTCCTCTTCGTCCGGGGTGCCCCAACCATGGGGGGCCGCCACGGGATGCCCCGGCCAGGTTCAGCCTTCCAACTCGGCCACGCGCTGCAGAGGCTCCAAGCGGCGCTCCAACTCGCCGGAGCTGCTGCGCTGCAAGAGACGCTTAGCATTCCCGGGCTTGACAGCAGCGCAGCAAGGCGGCGGCGGCGGCGGCGCGGCGGCCGTGGCTCGGCGCAATGAGCGGGAGCGGAACCGCGTCAAGCTGGTCAACCTGGGCTTCCAGACCTTGCGCCAGCACGTGCCCAACGGCGCCGCCGCCAAGAAGATGAGCAAAGTGGAGACCCTCCGCTCCGCCGTGGAATACATCCGAGCCTTGCAACAGTTGTTGGACGAGCACGACGCCGTCAGCGCCGCCTTCCAGGACGGTCTCCTGCCGGCCGGCCGTGACGCTGCCTCCGCCGCTTGCGTTGGCAGCAGCAGCAGCGTGTATTCCTCCGCCTCCCCCTCTTTTGACGGCCGCGAGGGCAGTTCTGTGCCGGGTTCCCCGCACTCGGCTTATTCGTCGGACGAGAGCGGCTACGAGGGGGCGCTCAGCCCGGAGGAACAGGAGCTGCTCGATTTCACCAGTTGGTTCGGGAGCTGCTGAGCTGGAAAGGTAAGGCGCCGGCCAGCTGATTTCTGATGAAACGCGCTGGGATTGCGCTTTTTTGAACTTCCCAGAATCTTCCTCCAGTATTACATTTTTTTATATATCCCATTGCAAAAATCTGGAGGCGGGGGACTCCATACGCGCACGTCAAGCATTTGGGTTAATTTTTTTTTTTAAAGATTCGGTTCCACTAGATTCGGAAGAAATCCGACCCAAAGCAAGGCCTACCGCAACGCACGCGCAGACCGAGTGGTGGTCCGTCTACGGTAACTTTTCCCTCGCAGTGACTACTTGCGACCCACTCTTAAGACGAGCCGCTTGTAAATCGGATCGTAGGTCGGTCAGGGTCTGTTCTCACGGTTTTGCAGAGAACTTCCGACGAAATACTTGGCTTTCCCGCCAGTACCTCTCGTCCCAACTTTGCAAAACGAAAATCCTTTCGAATGCAAAAGTTACTGGGGTCAGTGAGCTTAAGAGAACAGGAGAACTGATGGCTTGTTGTGTTGAGTGTTCTTTTCTTTCTGATGATTGAAGGGGGGGGGAGGTCACAATGTGTAAGTGGCTTTAACGTTGTCCCTAAGGGATGGCATGCATTTAGTTCTTGGGATCTCCAGTAAAATATTGTACAATGTGAAATAGAACATTCGTGCTGAATTCCCAGTTGCAGAGTTTTTGTCCACCTTTGCTTCCAGGTAAGGTATTATTTCAACTGGAGATAAGAATCTGTACTTCATATTTACAAACCAACCAACCCTTGTAATGAAGGTAGACGAAGGGATTAAGCAATCAAGTAGGCAAGGCCCAGGAGTTTCATTTGAATTTTGTTCACTTGGTTGCAGCTTACGCAAAAGGAAACTTTCATCAAAATGCTGCTATTGTTTCCCCTTTCAACAATCTAGTCCGCCCTTCTGAAAGAAAGCAGAAGGATGGTAGATTTATAGACCTGCTCTCCCTACAGCAATAGGGTTGGAAGTTGAAACAACATATGGACAGAACACTATTTGGAATGTGTAGGCATGGGGGAACATTACATTTCTTTAGCAGAGTTTTTGGTAGTTGGGCACAATGCCCCGATTAGTCTGGCTTTGGGATCAGGGAGAAAGCCTTGGGCTGCTGTTTGCATCTTTTCTGTCAGTCACCTGCTCCTAATGGCTTTTTTCTGTTTTCTTTTTGCAGCAATACTGAAAGCAACACTGTGTAGAGAACCTCAGTACCTCATTGTCCCAGGCTCCGATGCAGCAGAAGAGCACCAGAATCGTCTGATTTAACATGCACCTATTCTCTTCAAGCCTCATTGCAAAGGAAGTTGGATCTTTCTAACCACCTTCTCTCCCTGTTTGTTTATGAAACAAAAGACTGGTGGTTTTGATTCTTTTTTTTTTTTTAAAAAAAGTGCAATTATGTAAATACATTCTAGGGGCCATGGTTTATCTGCTGTCGTACAGCAGTTTATGGTACCCTCTGACTCTTGGAACAACCAATGAAAGGCTTCTTCTCTGAATCTAGTGGCAGCTGGAGATCTGTTGGGTTTCCAACTTAATGTCTGTCAATAAGGGCAGGGGTGAAATAAAAACTTGATGCTTCCTTTTTCTGAATGGGAAGGGGACTATTTGAACGTCAGAATTAGACTTTATTTGTGTAACTTGAGCTGCCTATGGGAACAAATATGAAGACTTATTTTTGTGCAAGTCTCCTTAATGTAAGAGGAAAGATTTATAGAAAATTGCTTATTAACTCTATCGGATAGAAAGTTTGAGAACTTACCCAACCTAGACAAATTTCTTAACGTTTTGTACTAAGGAAACATAGAGCTGTTTATCTTAAATGTGGTGTTGAGGATTTTGTTTGCTTGTTTATTTCGGGTCTGGTGTGAAGGTTCATTTATCTAAAAAAAAAAACGGAAAAAACTGAAGTTTTATTTTTAATGTATTGAAGGTATTTTTGTATGCACTTGCTAGATTTATTGACTTGCTTATATGCAGTTTTTAAAGAGTATCCTATTTTATGTAAATCAACTTTATAAATAAAATCTATTTATAATAGCCTGTGTTTCCATAAATGTCAACTTCTGTTTTCAGGGTTTGTGCTAAGGCCATAGAGAAATACTTTCTACATTTCAGTTAATATAATTGCGGAATAGGTAACTAGACTGTTTATATTGTTATGTATTTTCAGTGCTTACAAGGCAAATTATTACCTCACACACAAAAGGGACAAAGTAAAACTACTGAAAATGATAGCTTTTTCACAATCTAAGATTTAAATATCTATCCTTACGTAATCAGTGGAATGGATCCTTTCATTTATTAATACATTATTTAAACTAATAATGATATTGCACTAAATCATAATTTCCTTAGTTTTGGTTTAAGGTTACCTGTGGATCAGGCCTTCGCAATTTGTGAATCATGATTTATGGCTTAGCATGTGTGAACCAGGTCATTATGCATTGCCTTGAAAACTTGACTAAAGCAAACTAAGACTTGGTATCTAATGTAATCTCGTCCATTGAGTTATCAAAAGGAATCTAATACATAAAAAATAGTTGGCTGGCTGATTTGGGCCAGACACACACTCAGCCTAACTCACCTCAGGATTTTTGTGTGGGAAAATGGGAGGAGTACTAAGCATGTTCACCCCTTTGAGTTATTTATAGAAATATTAAAGAGGTTTAAAAATAATAAAGCCAAAGCCAAAATAACTTGGGGTTTATTTCCTGTGATCAACATTTGGTACAACAGAATCTAAATTGTAACTGAAAGAGATAATCTTTCTTCATTTGATTTAAACCACCAGGAACAGCCAAAGTAATAGCTGAGGTACTGGATGGCAATAAAGTGAAGATTGGTGGGATCATGTTGTGGTACATGCTATATTGCTGTTGTGGTTTGCTCAGGTTAAGTTCTATTAAAATTGGTTAACCACGGATGTCAGAATTTGCTTCATTCTTAACAAGAGAAAAAATATAAAAGGACTGATGAATATATGTTCCATGTATATCCTTAAGTTATTGGTTATTTAGAACCATTTCAAAGATACGCCTGGATTCCCAGTGTAACAAGTATCTTTTGGGCTCCTGTTTGAGTATTTAAAAAATCCTTTTCAGTTTGTAAAAATTCTCTTAAAGAAAGAAAAGAAACCCCTAACAATTTTAAACATATAATTTATTTTTGGGAAATGCAGATGTACACCCAGAGTAGGAGGAAACTTTAACAGCACCATTGTGATAAAGCTGCTGTCTATGCTTTGTGACCTTGTAATGTATGAAAGGGGTGGAATTTGTATCATGACAGTATGATGCTGACTTAGTTGTTTTGGTGAAAGTCTTTGATTCTGTAAATGCCTCTGTTGGGAAACAAAAATTTGAGTCTTGTGTGCAGAATAAGGAAGTAGCACATGGGCTTAAGGATACTCAGTAAGATATAAGTGATTCTTCCTAAGGGCTTCACTAATTTAAAAACATGGTTCAGGTTCACAAAAATAATACAGTGATATATTATGATGTGAGGAGTAGGGAATGCTTTTAAAAAAAATTAATATACTTTATGTTGAATATGTGTACAGTACTCCTTGACTTACAATGACAATTGAGCTCAAAATTTCTGTTTGTAAGTGAAACATTTGTTAAGTGAGTTTGCTCCCATTTTACAGTCTTTCTTACCACATTTAAGTGAATTACAGTAATTGTTAAATTAGTCAAACTTGTTAAGTGAATCTGGCTTCCCCATTGACTTTGCTCGTCAGAATGTCGCAAAAGGGGATCATGTGATCCTGGGACCATCATAAATAATGAGTCAATTGCCAAGCATCTGAATTTTGATCACATGACCATGGGGATTCTACTACAGTTGTAAGTGTGAAAATTTGGTCATAAGTCACTTTTTTCAGTGCCATTATGACTTTGAAGGTCACCAAACGAACTGTTGTAAGTCTAGAATTACCTGTATAGTTCAAATTGTCATGCTGGGTGGTTCAATTTTGTTAATGTATAATATGTGTGAATCCAACCTACATGTCTTGAGTCTTGAATGAAAACTTTTATTTGATTCACTGGTTCATCTGTCCAAGAAACTTTTTAAAAAAATACTTGTGAAATATCTTTACTGTAAAACAGAAGGCAGACATTGATCAGTTTTGCTGATAGGAACAGATAAAATAAGATAAGATAACCTTTATTGTCATTTTTTTACTGTGGGCACAACGGCACACATCAAAAATGAAATTTAGTTGCCCGCTCTCAAAGTGAAACATACACGATGCACACCTAAACATATTATATACAACATATGTATAAACCCACAACCCTACATATACATAACAAATAAATATTAAACACTGTCCATCTTGAATATATAACGGAAGGAGGAAGATTGAGAGTTCACAAGGTTAATGCTGTATGGAATGAAACTGTGGCTGAATCTGGATGTTCTGTTCGGATACCACGAAGCCTCCTCCCAGAAGATAACAAGGAAAACAGGTCGTGAAGAGGATGTGTAGTGTCCCAAATAATCTTACGGACCCTGCTCAAGCAACGCTTCTGTGCTATGTCCTGGATGGGAGGGAGGGAACTGCCAATAATCTTTTTGGCCATTCTCACCACTCTCTGCACCACCTTCCTGTCTGAAACAGTGATGCTTCCAAACCAGACTGTGATGCTGTATGACAGGATGCTCTTGATCGTCCCCCTGTAGAAAGTGGTCAGGACAGGGGAAGGAAAAAGCTGCATTCATTATTCCTTGGGTCAAGTATACAATAAAAAGGAAGAATATCTGCATGGGAGAAAGAGACAATGGGGCTTCTCTCTCATCTACACAGCGGAATGCAACAAAATTTCATTTTAATGTATGCCGATTAGTGTACATTTAAAATGACAACAAAGTTGTTATTCTATTCTAGTGCTGGAAGCTTTGGAAATCAAAACCAACCTTTTCTCCATAGTAACAAGCATCAGGCCTGTGACATGGGATTTATCTAAGAATGTATGGATTAATAGTCTGCCTCTTTTCTTCAAGTCGCTGTTATTTTTCTGTGTGATGTTGCACCACATAGAATTCATAGATTAGTTTCACTCGTGCTAAGTCGTGGTTTAACTGATTTAAAATTAAACTTCAGTAGAGAATTTTGTTAAATAAATTGGATTCACATGAAACACGACACTATCAGTCACAATTTACTGACCTAGGTCAATCAACCAAACAAATTATAGTATATTCAATGGAAAGTGTGAACCCAGTCATTATAGAGAGTGGACAATGTCCAGACTTCAAGGATGGAAGAGGAGACAGAAAGCTTTGAGCTGTGCCACTAAAATTACTAATACCCTGCTCAGGAAGTTGTTTTACAACACAGCCTTTGCTGAAAGCAAATTCATTAATACTGCTGTTACTTTTACTGACTTTTATTATAACTGACAGGGAGAAAAAAAATTGCAGAGAAAATGCCTTTAGCCAACAAGAAAGGGGATTATAGGATGAAGAAAAGTTTTTATGTATTGTCATTTTCTTGAGCCTCCCTGTCCTTTGGGAGAAAAGTAGAGGCGTAGTTCTTTTTTTTAATTCCATGTTGTTGTTGTTCAACCATTGTTGTCGATGAAGACCTTGACACCATGTGTTTTTTTAAATCACGTTAAGACTAGATATGGTGTATCCAAAGATGACTGATCAGGCCAATTTGGGCATAAAATGTTCTCGCTCATGTTAGACATGTGTAGGCACTGCAATTGTTGTGCTAGTGGCTCAACATAAGCAGCTCAAGCTTATGTCGTGTTTTAGCAGTGTGCCTTGCTTCGTAAGTTTGACAACCCTTGTAGATGAAGCCATGACAGCCCTTGTAGATGAAGCCATGACAGGGCAGTTTTGTGCCAGAATTGTCTCTATATCAAGTGACTTCAGGAGTCATCTATTGAGTCTTTGAAATATTTCTTCTGCTCTTCATGAGAGTGACTTCCAGCAGAGTCCCCCCCCTCCCAAAGAGATGCTTGGATATGCATTCTAGAAAAAACTTCAGCATTCTGGTACTTTGTCTTCTCATCTGATGACAAAGCCAAGTTATGTGGAAGAATTCAGAATAGAGAAGAACAGTAAGTACAAGAGCTTGTAGGCGTTCAGTTTTGTTAACTGAGTTGATTCCCTGATGTTCCCGCACAGTGCAGGGCAATCTACTGATCGTCTTTGCTATTCTGCAGTTAACCTCAGCAACAAT